CGAACATAGAATTAACCATTTTCAAAATATTCTCCTTTTGTGAAAAATGCTTCTATTATAGTATTATTTTGCCTGTGCATATAGCTCACACCTCTGTACAGAGGTTCTCTTAGAATTTTTGAAATATATAACTTATAAATGGGTTTATCCATGTTTTACGACACAACAGAGGGGAGAAATTTTAAGAAAAAAACGCCGATAATTATTTCAATTGGTTGTAACTATGCAAATAATGTGAATTTTTCAAAAGTCATAGTTGAGCCTCTGTACAGATGTCTGAGCTATATGCAGGCAAAATATTATTATAATTAAAGCATTTTTCACAAAAAGAGAACATTTTGAAAAAAGGTTATTCTAAGTTAATTTTTTGCCGAAATATTGTATTTAAATATTTTTTTTTTTGTGTCAAAATATCCTTAAAACGATTTTATACATGCATTCTAATCTAAGTGACACTAATTATCATGAAATTTATCCATTTATGCGCTTTTTTAAGATCACGGTTCCGAATGTAGTCGGATACCTTAAATTGGGCAGATATGAAAATTGTGTTGAGTTTTTATCGAAAGAATATTAAAATCAATGGCAGTTGTGTCTGTTTGAAGAAGAAAGAAAACTGAATTTATATTTCAATTCTAATAAATTAGACTGGAACAACAGGAAAATCAACAAGCTTAGAAATGGATAAAAGATGGGTGAACCATTAAACCTTAACCATTTAAGAAAGGAGCACATTCTGTAAGAAAATTTATTTATTATTCTTGAATTTATGTTGTGCTGCCCTGGAACTAATGCAGCAGTTGAAAGTTTTTTTTCAGTTGTTAATGATTTTTGGACAAGTGAGGAATCAAGATTGAATATTAATATATTATCTACAGTGCTTACCATAAAATTATGTAAGAAGGATATTTTTTGCTCCAAAAATGAGATATGTTGACAAAAAAATCATTCAGTGGAAAAATACTCCTTTAAGTAAATAATTTTAAAAGAATGTAAGTGAAATTAGCATATTTTTGATTTAATTATTAAATATTTTCATATGTTGATATTTTAATTTATTCTTAAATTTTTCGTCCTCCTTTTTATCGTAAAAAAACTGGTCACCTTAGTAATATGTTTAAATTGGTTTCATATTTATTATAATAATATAGTGGATGAATAAAGCGTAATTTCACACACTTTATGGAGCAGCAAAAGTTTTATAATCTATTTCAAATAAAATAAAACAAATTTTTAAAATATACTACTCAAAGAATAAGTGAATGTTAAATAAATTCATTAAGACGAGATGGTCGTGTTAAGTAGCATAAAATAAAACAAAAGAATACATACAACTGTATGTTTTTTAAAAACTATAATCATTGCACGTATTTGAAAAATTGAGAAACAAGCGAGATATGCCGATAAAAATATTGACAATTTATTGGAAACATGTGAGAGTGAAAGAAAAATAAAAGAACTTGCTTCGTAAATTGATAACCGATATCCGGGAGTGCATATATGTTTTCTATATCTACATAGTGTAAACAAATCGAATAGCAGGTTTTTATTCTCTTTTACCAACTTCGATCGGAAGACTAAAGATACTGCATATGAATAACTGTATAGCAATAATTTAGTATTTTATAAAAAGTAATTTTACCTAGAATTACTGATGTATGTTTACGACAGAATATTGGTTTTAGTGTTCACTAAATCTCTCTAATTTTGATTATATAAATGAACTTAAGAATTGATCTCGTGAAATGTTATCCAATTCAAACTCAACATTAATTCAAATATACGTGCATACATAGTATATTAACAAATATTTATAAACAACTCCAAAAACAAGATATAGTAAAGCATAAACATTATTAGAAAGATAACACAAAGAGCAAAAATAAAAGAATTAAAACACAGCCTTATGCAATTTGAAGAAACCAGTATTGAGTGTTGCTGACTCACAGCTGGAATTCTTATCTGCTCTGACATTGATTGAAAGAGACTTTGGATGGCTTGGAGTATAGCTGTATCGATATATTGATAAAGATGATCTGCAGTGGCGGCGAGAGATTTGTGATCAGAAAGTTACTCATATTCTTCAATCATCGATCAGACATGTGTGACAGGTCATAGATTGGAAGAACAGACAGGTCAAATTAACAATGCAACCTACTGGACGTAGACGAATTCTTGAATATAACATAGTTCAAGTATTATTCTATTGAAATGCGATATCAGGTAAGTTGTGAAAGTAAGGAAAGACAGATTGGAAACCACAGATATATAGCTCAGACTAATCATAATACAAGTGACGTGTATTAAGCGAGTGCGGAAATGGAATCCAACGCACTTCAAAACGAAATGCCGAGAATGACATGTATGGAAATGCATAAACAAACAGTTAAGCAGCCTTTATCCATACCCTATTCAGACTCCAATAATCTTGGTGTTGAACACAAAAGTGTGGTAATTTTATAGAAATAATATCATGTAAATCGGTGGTCCATGTTCACCATTCAATGCGCTATTGCATACACAAATACCTGAGAATTTCTGACAGATGTATTCGTATCAATGCCTTACGGCAAACGATATGTGTTTTAAAGGCAGATGTTCAAAGTGTCCACCATGCATATCGAGGCATGTTTGAGCGTGTTGTGGAATGAATGAGTACACACGTCACAGCAACGCGATGTCCACCGAAGTACAAGTAGCCTGCAGATGAGCAACTAAGTCCGTTTGTATAGTCATTACATTTCTATACACCTATTCCTCGAAATTGCCGCATGGTCAAAAAAATCGGTTGGTTTGAGATATGGCGATCGTGGCTGCCATTGAATTAGAGCCAAATGTCCTATGTAGTGGCCGGGATATGCCGTATCCAGTTAATAACAAACAGGATCACATAAATACGCTGGATCCCCATCATGCATCATCATTTACTATTTTTTTTCAATTCTACTATTAGCTCATACTCTCTAAATATTTATTTATTTAAATATTTATCTTGTACAAATTTTCAATCGTTAATAAAATACATTTTAAAGAGCTCAATTAAGCTGAAATTTTATGTACATGATTATTTTGGATGACAATACAGTAATTTAATTACAATTAATAAAAATTAATTAATTAAAACTAATTATTCAAAGAATTACAAATACAGCCACGTTCGCATCATTTCTGGTGACTTGTGTCAAAACTTGAAGAGGTTTTTTTCTCACATTTTAAAGCACTCATTTGAGTTGAAATTTTCTATACACTATTGTTTTGAGGGAAAATATGATAATTTAATTATAATTAATTAAAATTAATTGACTGAAACTAATTTTTTTAAAGAATTACATATATAGCCACGTTGGTTTCATGTTTAGCGACTTGGGTCAACGTTTTGAAAGATTTTTTCTCACGTTTTAAAGGATTCAGTTGAACTGAAATTTTTATACACCATTGTTTTAGATGACAATACAATACTGCAATGATAATTAATAAAAATTAATTGGACCTTAATGTTGTGATTCTGTCATATGTATATACACACTTTTGTTAATTGTAACTATTTAAAAAAATTAACTAAAATAAAAATTTTCTTTGCTGATCAAAGTAGGAATTGACTTATATATATATATATATATATATATATATATATATATATATATATATATATACATATTTCTTGTTTCTCGTGAACTATGAATCGTACAGGTACAGTTCTCTGGGCATTTTTCATGTACTTCCAACGAGTAATCTAGTGGTAAAAAGTTTGGTCACTTTTTGGGGGACATCTTGTTTATATATAAACGCAGATATGTTTCTATTTACAATACGTATAACTGATATTAATCTCCTTTACAGCTAATTTTTTTAAAAAAATTTCGAGATCGCAACTGAAGTAAAAAGGACAACAATAAAATTATTTTTCAGACGTATGAACTTCTAGAAGGTTGATAATTATTTTAAAATAAACTTTGAAGACAACTGGTGATTTCATTATCAAATGAAATACAAAATTAAGTTGTTATGAATCTTTATCATTTACTGAGAACCATTGTACTTTTTTTCCTAATTATGAATATGATTCAGTCGCTTGAGGAAATAATCTAAGCCAATTAATACCTTTAACTATTTATCTCCCCTGCATACCAATTGATTACTTTGAGAGCTAAATGAGATTCATGTATATTAATCTATAATATATTCCATTAGGCGAATATTGTGGATAATTCTCTCATCATTGAAACTACTATTGAACCAAAACATCAATGAAAATGAGATTAGTCGGGATTAAACATCAAATAATTATGACTCTAACGGGCAAACATAGATATTCATAATTCTTCTTCCATTTATAGGTGGTATACCTTAGGGGGAAAATATATGTGTTTATATAAGGTTTTAATAAATAATATTTGGATTATTGTAAAGTTATATAATTAAATTTAAGCAAATTATTGCAAATTAGCTGTTTGATTACGATATTATATATATATTAAATAAAATAAAACCGTTTCCTAAACGATGATAGATAACGTCCCAATGACAAGGTAAACAAGAAAACTAGATATCTATCAGACACTTATATTTTCATTTATTGTTTAAAATAAAAATAAGGATTATATCAATAATTGATAATTTGTGAATGTCCCAATTAGAAACATGTGAGAGGGAAATATCAAAAGTATATCAGATTCTTCACTTAACCTCTGTTCTTTATAAATTGAATTACAAGGTTTTATTCTTCTACGAAATCTCTTCTCATTACTACTAAACATATTTTTCAATTCTCCTACTATTAGTTCTTATATATATATTGTTCAAATTTTCAGTCGTTAATAAAATACTTTCTATTCATCCATTCAAGTTCAAACACATTTTTTTAAACTTGTAGTGGATGGCACTTGATGTTAATACGATTTTTTCAAATATTAATTCATTAACTAAATTAAAAAATGATAAATAGTAACATACAAAAATAATAGTCCTACCCTATATATAAAAAAAAAATCGCTCGTTGGGTCCCTGTCGCGCAATGAGCAGTGCATTGGATTTCTAATCCAAAGGTCTAGCTACAAATCCTACCTGGGATGGCCTAATTTCTGGGAATATGATTTATGAATGAATAAATAGTAACAAACAAAAATAATACTCCAACATCATATATAGAAAGGAAAATCACATTCTCTTTTGCTACTTAGCGTTGTGATTCTGTCAACTGTATATACATATGTATATTAATTGTAACTTTTTAATAAAAAGTAACTGCAATAAAATTGTTCTTTGTTGTCCTAAGAAGGAATTGACTTTTAAAAAAAAATGTTTTATATTACTTGTTTAATCACAATTTAAAATAATAGGAAATTATGCGATGAATAACAAGAGGTATATAAAAGGAGATTATATGTACGAGCTAGCTGTGTATGGGGGAGTGAAAAAATATTCGTAAGTCCTTAGAAGGAATTTCAGTATAAATTACCTTTTCAAAGAAAAGTTAAGAAATGAGATTGTCATAAAAATTATGAATTTTCTATATTGAATTTAAGAAATAAATTTTTAATTCTTTTCCATTAATGTCATAAGTATTACATTTTCAATTTTAATGTGTAGTTACGACTTAATGAATAAACGTGTTATCACACAATTTAACGTGAATTTTAAGACTTTAAAAGGTAAATTAGATACATGAGAGAACTGAAAATATTTCGGTTCGGTGATATTTGTAATTTTAAGAATGCTGAACTTTGCGCTCCACTCTGTAGAGATTACATTTTTATTTAGGACCTTCAAATAAATTTGTAATTAAATATAGTAAACACTAATTTTGAAATTATAAGGAATAAACTCTGAAACTTTATAAAATCTTATGTTTTGGTACATTGATGAATTAGTGCGTTGTTTATGTGGATAACAGAAATCAGAACAACACAGTTTTTAATTACGATTTTATTGAATGAAAATATAATTTTTCCAAATTTTAAAAAGATAATTAATGATTTCAAATAAAATCCATTTAATTTGTTATATATCTTTGACATGTAGTAATTTGCAAAACCAGAGATAGAGACCGTTATTTAATAATATTTAGCCTCAAATGTTAACCTATTTTAACATTCATTATTTATATTATGCTGAAAATCCAGAAGAGTAATACAATACTAAGAATGGAAGCCTGCATGTTTATTGCATGTACTAGGAATATATACAATAAACGTAAAGAACTGTGAGAAGTATTTTTTATTAAAAAAATCAAAAAATCTCGTTTAATCCTTTCCTCAATTTGTGAATTAAGTACATGATTGCGTTAAATCTATCAATAAGATAAGAAAAATTTACTATTTATTATGCTTACATTAATTTTATTGATATTCTAAATACTCTTAGGAGAGTATATAATTTTAATTTAAACTCTTTGATTCAATTAACTTTATACAAATTTGGTTTTAATGATAAATATGTCATAAATTAAATTGTGATTCAATTTATTAAGAAATAACATATGTGAAATCATCTTAAAGCGTTTTTTAAGAAAATTTCATATTTCATTTTAAGAACTTAAAACACTCTCAGCATAGAAGTTTTTTTTTTAATTTATCAACAAATTTTATGAGACAGAAATATTTCTTTTAAAATTGATAGGCTTATATAAATAAAAGAACACAATCTTGTTTATTCTGTTTCGTACCAATACTCAGCAGAATTACCAAAAAATATATGTTTCACTTTTAATATTTACGTCTCGAAGAGAAAAATCAATGAAGTATCTATAATACGCATGTATCAAAACATAAAATTTCTTTTCTAGTACGTTCTTTATGATAGGGGAAAGACCAACTCTCTCTTGCAGTAGCTTAAAAGGTAATAATCAATCTTTCTAAATTAAAATGCTTTTTCTTATTTAATACATTTTTCCAGTGATTGTTTCTTTATTAATTTGCAAAGTGAAAGAATAAAATGCAAAGCATGCTATCCTTCTCAAAGCACTTCAACTTTTGTCCCTTCATTATGTACATGTTTTCCCAGTTTTCATTAATCTTCTTTAGAAAAAGAAATATCCTACAATTAATTAAATCATAATCCCTTACTGAAGTATAGTTAAAAACGTTAGTAGCTACAATAATTTTTGCTGCTATTGTTTAATTTTTGTAACTGGAAGATTTTCGTAAGATATTGGATTTTAATCGAAATTCTTATATATTACCAAGTTGATTTTAGTATAGATCGACTTATCATAAAATATAATATTCTGACTGAAATTCAGGATTATTGAGTTTATTAATTATTGTATTAAAAAACTATACTCTAAGAATTCATAAAAGTAATATAAAATGGGGTGATTAAAGATAGAAAACATACCGATTACGTATATGCACTCTATAACAAAAAAAAAAGATGCACCAAGAAGGAGTTGCCTGATTGTAATGAAATTTCATATGCACAGATATTTACACTGAACATGCAAATGATTAAAATTTGGTGACCAATGAATGAATAGCGGGAGCCACAGCGCATCGGAACAGCGCCCTCAGCATATGTCTATAAGAAACGATTCTCAATCTGATGGTCAAAATTTCTGTTACATTGCGATTTAGGATACATTTCAAAGACTGAAAAAGTGATTCGCCGGAGGATTCGAGTTCATTACGAGCAATTGTCAGAGTTTGAAAGAGGTCGCGTATCATTGCATTGAAAAAGGCAGGCTGGGTAAATCGGATAATCGCTCGTCATATGGGTCGAAGCGATGCTGCCATTAGATGATGCTGGCAAGAATGGGTAGACAGTGGCAGATTTCAGCGTCATGATGGTAGCGGTCGACCTAGGGTCATAGCAGACAGGGAAGACAGAATGATTGTCATATCAGCTGTCGTAACACCTGATTCATCGTTATCAATAATCAGACGTGTGACCCACACACGAGTGTTCACCATGACCATTCACAGCCGGCTGATACAGCGAAATTTACGCTCTTACTGACTGCTGCTCCAACTGCCACTCAGCTGCACAATGTCGAGCCAGATTAAGGATTGCCAGATTGGCTCGATCAGGTTGGAATCATGCTGACTGAGGACGTATAGTTTTTATCGATGTGTGTGTGAATCCCGCTTCCAACTTTGTCCTGATGATTATCCAAGATATGTCTGGAGACGACCAGGGCAGCACGCCGATCCTTCTTTCACTATCGCACGTCAGACATGCCTTCAACCATAAGTTATGGTCTGGGGGTGCCTTTTTTTGTTTGTTTGTTTTGACAGCCTGACTCCTTTGGTCGTCATTTGAGCAGCGTTTCTCAAACTGAGGGGCACGCCCCCTTAAAGGGAGGGGGGCTATAACCCTGTGAGAGAGGCGAGAGCATATTGAAAATAAAAGGTTTAAAAAATAATTTTTCCGAATGAAGTAAAACAAAATGCTTTCTGACTTTATAAAAAATACACAATTGCACTGATATAATTTATATATCATCTGGTGATGATCAAAAATGAAAGATTCCACTTCAAACGCTCATTAGCTATCTTTGATCCTATAATCAAATAAAAAAAGAGACATTTTGTTTACTTTGCTGTAATCCCAAGAGGAGAGATGTTTTTTATTACGTTTCTTTTAACCCCTAAAACACTAATTATTATCACATATTTGACCTTCAAACAAACTAGTATGTTTCACTCCGTCCCTTTTTCTTTTAGGAAAGTTGTAAATAATATTTTTCTGTTTCTTTTTTTCCATGTGAATGAGCTTTATGATATATGGATAAGTATATTGAGCACTTTAAAGGATTATTTGGCCAAGATATATTTTTATGAGTATTCTGAAACATATAATGCATATGAAAAACGTTTTTTACACAATTATTTCTTAGAACTGACATTTATATTTTTTTATTGAATAAATACAATTTTAACATGGGAGCGGTCGCACGAGGCGCAGAGTCAACCCAGACTCCCAAAATCATTAATTCTGGGAAAACTGTTTATTCGTTAACAGTGACTTTGAAAGTATCTTCCTATTAGACAGCCTTAATGGGAACTAATATAAAATGAATTTTTTTACAAATATGTCTCTTCTTTCAAAGTGGCAAACGTTTTTTTACAGTAAAGGAACTTGTACGAGTTCCTGTGCAACCACTTTTTTTCAAAAATATTTTCTATGAACATTCTACAGTTTCCCCTATGAACAACTTTGTGGTCTTGATTTCTGTGTTGTACGACTTATTACAGTTTATAAATGTAAATGAGCAGAATATAAAAAAAACGGGCATCTGTGATCTGTATTGAAGGAAGTTGAAACTGATCAAGCAATTGTAGAACCTGCTGAAATAATGCATATTAATCAAGATAGGGAAAGAAAATATGAGAAAAGCGATAGACATGAAATGTTTAAGTTGAATGGAAATTTTCAAATGCTGCCTAAAGAACTCTATGAAGAAAACTATGAAGTCATAAATGTAGCATTTCGTCTTGTCAAAAAGACACAAGAAAGAAAAAGTTCAAAATACTATTTGTAGATCATCAAACGACAGCAAAACTACAATTTCGTGAACAAAATATGACAATTTTGCTGGAAAATAACGTTCCTGTATTGTTAGCGAAAAGTGTCTGTGGTTTATGTCCTTTATTAAGGTCACGCTCATTTGGAACGTTTTCTTTAGTTTATTGGATTTTTTATCAAATTATCAAAAAAAAAATTGAAAAGTCCTTGAAAGTAGGTAAGTATATTTTCTATTAGTTAAATTATTCACTGGTATTGTGATTTTATGGCGTATAGTGTGAAAATAATTATAAAATAAATTATAGTTTAAAAACAAACTAAAAAACACGCTTTTATAGTGAATCGAACAAAAAAGTAAAAAAATAAAAATATATATTACTTAAAAGTAACATATACTAAATTTAATACTTATATTGTTAATTTGTACGGATTATAATTACGATTGTATTGTAGCTGTAGGGCCAAAGTGCATTATTATTATTGCATTCAATACAATATTTTTTTTTGAGGTTGTGCGATAAAAATTATGATTGAAAATTGGATCGCCAGTAGTGAAAGTTTGAGAACCACTGCATTAGAGGCAACTTGCAGCACAACAGCATGTCGATGG